TTTTTTTTTTCCGTTCAAATATTCGTCGCATCTCTCTAAAAGCTTGTTAGCTTTATACGCGCGAGCGTTTGTTTTTTTTTTCGCGTCGCAACGGGCTTACATTATCCAAGGGCGCGCGTATCGCTCGCTGCAGCGACCATTTACGTAATTGCGAATTGCGGAGTCATGCATTTCAACGCCGAAACCGCGAAACGCTCGCGCGGAAACGGCGAAAATGGATGCTGGGAGTGCGCCGCCGTGTATCCTGGTTTGCGTTACCGTGACAAAGTGTTGCACACGCGGAAGCGCGCGCGAAGAAGTGGGTCAGTGGGTCAAGCGCGGCGAGCTCCTCCGTATCGAGCTACATCTGCGTCTGCACGCGAGCGGGGGTGCTGACTCTCGGATGTGACCTCAGCGGAGTGAGCTGCAAATTTGCGACTCACCGGGGAGTCGCAAATCCCACGTATTTAGTGCTAAACAGAGTTGGTTGATTAAGCGGTAAGGAACACGTGCGCGGATAAAGCGTCGGCGCGTTAAAAACGAAACCGTCCGCCGGGCTTTGTGTTGGCGATGAAATTAATTCCGTAATCAATAATCAGTAATTGCAGCAGTTGCAGGAATTGCGAATCGGCTATGCTCCGGATATATTTATTTACTTGACTCAATTATTGTTTAATTTAATCTCGGCGTTTTATATGGAAAGCTGTTATTTTTCGTGCGAGGAATAAAATGTTGAATTTTTCACATTTTCATTAGAATTACAATTGCGCGTTGACAAGAGCGCTAACGAGCTTAGTTTCAACTCATTAAAAACAATGGATTAATGCTATTCTGGCAATTAAAGGTCGAAATCGTGGCGTGTAACGAGAGCTTTAGCGCGCCAACTGTCGCTTACACTGCGAAATAATGTAAACGTTCGTCGTCCCCATGTTTAGACAATGTTACAATGTATGCATTGCATACATGTTACAATGTATGCATTGCTGCAAGCGGAAATGGAGTACCTTATTTGCAATTTTTTTTGTCGCTACGCCCATAGATGTAGCGGTTTTACGCGTCTCTGGATGGAAATAAAACTCACTGAGCAGCGTCCACCGACGGGATGTGCACTCTACATTGCAAACTCGCTAACATGCGACGCAGATACGTTAAAAATTTATTTTCCCCGCCGTTCTCAAATTTGGATTCGTCCGTCCGTTCCATTGATTTTTATTTATTGCTCATAAATCTTGCCGCTTGAATTTTATTGGTATTTTGGCTGTAAGTTTTATTAGTTGAGAGATTTAGCGACTTTTCATTAAAAAAAAAAGATAATTTTTTTTTTAAATTATTAAATTTGTTTATTCCATTTGAAATATGTATTATCATGTCGATCACAAAATTGATTTGTCGAGATCAATTCGCAGATGTAATCTGTTGTTTAGAAAGCAATTGGGATCTTTCAGCGCTTTCTCTCTCGATTGTTTCGAACGAAAGCGGACGCGTTCTTTCGTAGATTTCTTGCGGTCGACACAAACATTGATCGAAACGCGAATAAAAGAATAGCACGCGCATCGAGCGTTTCCGCTGTGAAATGAATACCTGCTCGTACTTTCGAACAAATATCTGACCGAGAAAATGAGGGTGTCGGAAGTGCGAAACCGCGCGTGGAAATTATCGCCAGGATGACGGTCGTTCAACTGGTAAGTCTTTCTCAAGCGGCTACACAGCTCATAATTTTTTTATAGGATTTTAATCGCTATTAACGTATAAATTATGAGAAAAAGTCGGCCTTTCGCACAACTCATTCATCTGTTCTAATCTTCTTTTTTTCTTATCCGAGATAATGATTTTCTATGTAGAGGCATGAAGTGTGTGAATTCCTCGCTTTGAAGCGACGACGCATATTTATGTCGCAAGCAGCGGTGATAATAATAACGATTGCGCTCGGCAACATTCATTTAAATATCGCAGTCGCCAATTTAATAAAGCAAGCTTTATTAAATTGCCATTTATAATTTTATTTCATAGAAAACATTTGAAAGATCAAAACTACAGATTACATATATATTTTGTATATGTGTGTTTCTCGATTTCCTTGAAATGTTACTCACATTACGCATAAAGCTGTGAATAAAATTCTATCCCGAATTGTAAATCGTTTAAAATAATTTGAAGGAAGCAGAGTTTGATGTATTTTAAATTATTTGCAACAAAAGCGAAACGTATGTCACGCGCTGATGTTACTTATCCTTCAACTGACACGGCACATATATTTTTGAATAAGTAAAATGCAGAATTACACATCTTGAAAACATGTTTATATATTCTGTGTTCAAGCTCGACAGCTGGTTAGATTCCGACACAACGGTCGTGTTTACGTCGCATTCAATGTGATACCGGTGTGCCGCGTAGATATCAATACTTTCACCGTGAATCCGCTGCGGCGACAGAAGTGTGCGTACACGTGTGCATTCAACGCACAGGTGGATCACGTTTCCGAGGTAACGCGGCACACGTGGCTACTCGCACACGTTTCGAAGGCGAGAGGCAGCCGAGTGTGACCGGCGGAAAGAAGGCGCGTGAGACGTGTAAACATGCGTAATCAGCGAATTTGCCGTTCACGAATTGTCGAGTCGAGAGTTCGAAGTGCGCCGCGCCGATCAAAGCACCGCCGCCTCGTAATTGGCCCACGTTTGAAAGCTATTTAAATTTCAAATGCGGAAATTGCAATACTTTTACCTAAAAAAATTTCAGCAAGAAAATGTATGAATTATGGAAGGAAAATTGCAGGCGCAAAGAGAATTAATGAGATGAAAGGAACGTATTTTGAAATCTCCATTGTTTAAGTTTCACGATAGAATTTCATATATAGCAACGCGGTTGTCTTACTCCATTTAGCTCTTTTGTTGAAATGGGAATTGAAATGCACTCGGGGGTACGATTTAATTTTTCAGTTTTCCGATACGCATAGTTCGTTGCGGCGATACATCACCGTTACAATTTCTGTGGAATAATTAAATACTCGCGAACGCAATAATCCTACTGCAAAGGGAATTCAAAACCAATTCCTTTATTTCTTTCATTCGATTAATTAATTGATACGTTTGGCACGCACGATTTATTTTTGTACTTCGCACAGCGGAATCGATTTTATCTTTTTATTTGACGTTTAATCATCGCTTGATATCTTTATCGATTACTAATCACTTCGTCGTTGTTGTAATTATCTGTGTCACCAGCGGCACAATGTCGCTGACGAATTCACCTTGCCGCTTGACGCAACAAAGAATCGCAAAGTCAAATCGCGCTCGTTACCTTTTTTTCGCGAGTTTCCGCGACTTGGCGATTGTACAAATATTGGTGCCTGACTTTACGAATGTCGAGTGCGGAACATTCGGCGAGCATATTTCTGAGGTTTTCACGAGTTGAATCGATAAGTCGTCGGTTAATGGATACTCACGAATCGTGCCATACTGAGTCATCATTTCTCTATGACGCACTGCAAATCAATGAACGGAGGCTCTATGCCGCTATACAGTCGCTTGAAATCTATTTTTATTATCTTCTTGCATGAAGGAGAGTAAATTATGCAATCTTGCGACAATAATTAACAACACGCTTGATCAGTAATCAAAGATTATTTCACATTGAGACAATTCTCATGCATTTCCCTTTTTGATTTGCGATTGTTCGATTTGTTCTAATTGTAAACACTTTTATAATTTACGATTCTAATTGGAACTTCGCTCGGCGAGGGGAATTTGGTAGACAGGAAGTACTCTCGCGGATGAAGGGTAATTTATATAAGAGAAACGAGCGAGCTCTTTGCCTCTCGTCGTTCGCTTCGTTGTCGAGTAGCACCGTCGTCTGTAAAAGTCCGTGCTCATTGTGCGAATCTTCGCGATCTCTTACTTTGTGCAAAAGGGGGGAAGCTCCCGGCGAAGTTTTCGGCCGAGAACAGCCGTGTGTTTCGACTTTTCCCCGACAATGGACGATCTCCCTTCGCGCCGCAGGCATTATTCCTCCGCTTTCCGGACGAAAGGGGCATTCCGCGGAGAGCGGCTTTACCGTTGGACGTTCCAGTTTCTCGGATCTATCGCAAATTACGAGATAGCGTTCGTCCTGCAGTCGCGTATCGCCGATAACTGTACGTGCAATTGCTGCATGTAGTACGAGCGGCAAAATCGCGGTCGACACTAACGTTCGTTTCGTTTTTGCGAGGCGAGTTCATGCGGGCGCGATGAGAAATGATTACACGCGCGATTGCCGCACGATGCACGATTGGAAACGTGAATTTCGACGAGGTATTGACGTTTTCGGTTATTCACCCCGATTGAACGGCCGTCACCGGTTTCCGAGAGCCACGACGCTGTCGTCTCGCGATTTTTGGCTCGTCGGTGCGCGTTGAAATTCGGTTAAATAATTAACGAGCATATCTCGCTTGTGCGGCTTCTACCTCTTCTCGTGTCCTAAAATTTGCAAGCAAAATAATTTACGATGCTTGCAAACTCGGTCATTACCGCAATTTAATATTTGTGAACAATTATACGCATTTATATGAATTCTGAATTTTTAACTACATTTATTTACATTATTTGCCGATAAAATTATGCAGTTTTAATTTGGAAATAATTTCGCGAGAATTTTTAAACCTGAAAAATCACTGCAAGAACAAGCCGTATATTTGTTCCATTTTTTATTGAATTCTTTTATCTCTCTGTTTTTAGGAATTGAGAAAAAAATTTATATTTGCGATATCCACGAATACTAACAAAACGCATAGCAATATATAGCATGCCACGTATTGTGAATTTTTAAATGGGATCTAAAAGCACTCCGCGAGATTTTTCAAGTGAAAAAAAAAGAGAAACATTACGCAGTTATTCCCGGGTTGATGAAAATATATTTTGCGCGATGATAATAAATTCAGTTATGATCTTTTAGCGGCGAATGGTCTGTTTGTCGAATCATGTTATTAGCAACGGAGATTAATTATAATAATTAAATATCTCACACAATTGCGTATAATTGTATTGCAGCGCCGTACGAGGGTGGGATATGGAAGGTGAGAGTTCACCTGCCGGAGCATTATCCCTTTAAATCCCCGTCAATCGGTTTCATGAACAAGGTCTACCATCCCAACATTGACGAAGTCTCAGGCACTGTATGTCTAGATGTTATAAATCAGGCTTGGACTGCCCTTTACGGTACGTATTTTGCTGAAAAATCTTTTAAACAACGGCCAGTATCACGCATTTTCGTCACTCAGTCTACTTGATTGTTTCACAAAAAGTAAATTAATTCAGACTTTATTTTAAGAATTATATCGTTGCTTTTTTCAGTAATACGCATTTTTTGTAATCTTGATGTTGTCATCTATTGATCCAATTTTAGCACATTGCACACTAAATTACTGTAAAGATAAGCATATATATGTCGTTTAGATATGAAGAGTGCTTGATAAAAATGATTGATGTTTTAAAAGGAGAAACCTTGACAAGTTAATGAACGTATTTCAATTAATAACCGTAAATTAGCGCTTGAAATTAATTGGTGTTTGTTAAAATTTAAATTTGGCAAGCACTCTATTAAACGGATTTTCATGTTTCTTGCTGAAAATAAAACGAAAAATTGAAAAAGTGATTATCGATAACATGCTTTTGTTTTTCTTTCAGACTTGTCGAATATTTTTGAATCTTTTCTGCCCCAATTGTTAACATATCCCAACCCAATCGACCCTTTAAACGGCGATGCTGCCGCGATGTATCTTCACAAACCTGAAGAATACAAGAAGAAGGTAGCAGGTGAGTATGTCGGCTTAATAGGTTTCCCCGTAACGAGACGCGGCGGAACGAAACGACGAATCATTATGAAAGTTTTACGATCGCCGTTAATCAACCCGTCTTTCTTAACCGTAAAACTCCCCCTCCCCCCCTCGTAATTGTTTACGTTTCGCGGACGCGCGTATTGCCGCGCGTCCGCGCGCCGCGCGCTCACGGACGCTCATTCCAGCTCGCAATGCAATTTCCCGTTTTCTGACTTCTCTCCCGGCAGATTACGTGAGGAAGTACGCGACGGAGGAGGCGCTGAGGGACCAGGAGAACGGCGGTACCGGCAACGGGATGTCCTCCGACAGCGAGTCCTCGATGAGCGACTTCAGCGAGGACGAGGCGCAGGACATGGAGTTGTAACCAAATATATTACCATCCGTACCCATATCCTTAACCATCTCGATTCCCTGTAAGATTCCCGATCGCTCGTCCTACTACCAAATAGATGCTTACACCCGAGACTCCGAGCCTCACTTCTGGTGACGGCGACGAGCCCATTACCACTCGTCGCTGCTCTCGTCGTCCGTCGCTCGTATCGTCGCATCCTACGGCAGCAAGGCCGACGTGGGGTGTGCGAGGGGATGGTTGATCGACCATCTCCCTCCCTCCCGACGAGAGTGAAAGCGAATGAGGTAAAGAACGGAGAATCGCGTATGATGGTCGTGCTCTGCGCGCTCTTCTCGTTGAGCGCACCGAGGGGCGCTCTCGGCCACGACGGCGATGTCTCCCCACGGTCGTCCGAGCTCCACTGACTTGAGCTCCGTTAATTCGTCATTCGCTGCGTTCAATTGCCACGATGAGGAGGATGATAATGCGTCCCGTCGGCGCGTAAACGAACTACGCGCTGGCACGGGCGAAATTTGACCTCTCCGCAGACGGAGTCGATCCTCTCGCTCTTTGAGCGCGGAAGAGAGAGAGAGAGAGAGAAAGAGAGAAAAAAGGGAGGAAGTAAGAAGGAGAGAGAGGGAGAAAGAAAAAAAAAAGAGAGTATCATAGTATTATCCGCCGGTCGCCGCAATGTCGATTTGTTATTCGAAATTGTTCGTAATTCCCTGGCAACTTTGGCATCCGACTCTGGCGGTGCGTCATCCACTGTGTGTATCTACGATGCGTTTCTGTGTGATTGACATGCGGCCGAAAACAGCAACGTTATCGTACGATGAGAGGCAACACCGAGTACAATACGCTCAGTTCGCGTTTTCCTCACTTTTTGAAATTCTCTCGCCCTTGTTCTTTTCTCATTCTTTCTTTCGAGCGCCGTAGGTGTGTTCATCGTTGTGATATTCGACAAAGACATGTGATCGCGAGAGATTAGAGTAACAAAGGAGAGAGATGCGTCATGAAAAATTTTAACAATTTAGCTGACTGGTTTATTATGTAGTGGTCGCATCTCCTCCGACGGCTAACGACTCCTTTGCTGCTACCTTAGACTGCGTTAGCATCTATTTGAGAAGAAGAAAAAAAAATTATATTTTTACATTTGAAATCATTGTTAGTCGGTAATTTATTCCCCCCTCCCCATTCTTTGAGTTTGTGAAAGATACGTTGAAGGTAATTTGTTTTTTTAAACCGTCGGTGAGTTTGTCTTCGCAATTTTTCTTTTTCTACAATCAGTCGATAAAAAATAAAAAAAAAAAAAATTTTTTTAAGTACGCGTGTCACGCGTCGCCGCCACGGTTCTCCGCTAAAGGCAGGCAGGTCTTTTGGTTAAACGACAGTAGGATACGCAAAAATGTGATGGAGTATGGGTACTAGCACCGTCTTCCTTGTTTTCCTGCCATCACCATTCCCAAACGTTTCCCTCGTAGGGCTGCGCAACAGCGACCGATCGCCACGTCGTCGTCATCGTCGTCGTCGTCGTCGTCGTCGTCGGCGGCGGGGAAAAGACCGAATCTGCCACAGAAACGACCACGCGACTGTGACGCGAACGACATCGGGACAATGCAGCCGCCGTCCAAGATTGCGCGTTCGTGGAACCGCTCCGGGAGAATGAGTGCAAACCAGACTCTGAATACGTTTCAAGCATCCTCGGCGTCCCGTCTCGAACTGTGCGCATCGGGCGAGCGAAACGCGGAAGAGACGCAAGCGAATGAAGCTGCAGAACTGTCTTCATCGTGTATCCATTCTGTAGAAGCGAATATAGATTTAGTTGATCCCGGTGGGTGCGGATTAGGCGGTGTTTAACGTTCGCTCGTGAAAAATTTTAAGTCAATTTATACTGTTTTAATCTCATTGTTATTCGACCCATTATAGATTTCATTATTATAGATCATTGTTATTAAGAGGAGGATGTATATTGAATTGGTTTGTTATATTCGAGAGATACTTTCCTTTCTAACAGAATAAAATTAGTTGTATCCTTGCGTTATAAAGAAAAGAGAGAGAGAGAGAGAATAGCTGCTTACTTAATAATTATTATTTATATTTTATTATATGCAATTTCTGTTCTGGTATTTTCAAATATTAGAAGTAAAAGAAATGAAATCAAAGGTCTCAGGGAATTTCTGTTCGAGAAATATAAAAGATACTGGTATATATCATTGCGCGCTTTGAAATAAAGAAGAAACAAAAATTTGAAAACTGTAAGATGGAAAACGTGAGGAAAAATTTATTTTTATTGTTGACAGTAGATCAGCAAATTTGAATTTCGAGAAAAGAAACAAGAACCAAGTAGAGTAAAAGAAATTGCTCGGCAGTGTAAAAAACCTGTAAATCTACGAGAATATTAAAATTGTACAAATCTTGGTGCACAATAATCTTTGATCATTAGTATCTCGTTTCAAATTGATCTCCCTCCTTTGCATGATTTACGATGTATGCAATGCGATTATAGCTGTAACATAAGTGAAGACGTTATATTTCAGTGCCTTCTCAGGCAGAAAAACGTGCCTTATTATATGGGTCTCCCGTTGCATTGGAATATATGAATGAATATGATGAGCATTTAGTGTTAACAAATCTGTAAATGAAATTTAATTGCTTAAAGCATTGCAAACTAATACAGAGTGTGCTTTTATTTTCGAAACTAGGACTAAACGTCGGAAATTGTTAGCTTCAATAATTTTTCGAGAACGATTCAAATATACAAGATGCACAATTGAACACAAATTGAAGAAACGAGAAAGGTGGAAATTATTTATAAGACAGAGTAAGAAAAATATTTCATAAATCGATCTTGTATTTTCGGAGAACCTCGAATATAATATTATTTTATTATTAAGATTACATTCTGTGTGAGCGAATTGATCGTAAATGCAAAGAAATCAGAAAATTTTTTAGGCAGTCTATATATTTACTACACATTTTGTTGCGTACATTTGCGTTCGCTGCTGTTTATTTCATCTTACGTCGACAAAACTTATCCAGGTCTTTGATGTATTATGCAACAGTTACGCTCACCTTTTTTTTCAAGAACGTTATGTTTTTCTCTTTTATGTAACGAAAAGCAATGTGATTTACATAGAGATATTTACGCTTTGCATTATTATAATTATCTCAGACATACTTTCGCGGACGCGGCCCGTTTCTCAGCGTATATTCTCCGATTCACGATGTAACGCAATGTATTCAGAAAATTTTTAATTGAATTAAAGCAGTACGGTTTTTGCATAACTTATCAAGGACTGAGTGCTGCTTTTAACGTCTCTTCTCTTACTCCGTGCAATTAATACGTAAAGTGATATCTTCTTCCAAAATTCGTCAATCGCTTTTTATTTTATTCATCTATTCACTTCGCTATTGTTACGATATCTCAATGTTTTTCAAGACTCGGTATGCAATCGACGTAGTATATGCTTGGAGCACAAACTGCAAGGAAATACACAGCTTAGATACTTTGGGGACCTCGCACAGTCAGAATGAATACTTCGAATTATCAGCTGTACTTAGAGAAACGGAAAATTCTGTCTATTGTGTCATTCATGCTATATCTCTCCACAGAACGCGTCTGCTTTATTTTTGTAAGTTAGCGTACTAGCTTCGAGTTTCTCGCTAGCGTACCCGCTCTAGTGTCTCGTCGGCACTTATACTTTCAGACTTCGTTGATTGAGAACCAAAAAAAAAAAGAAAGAAATCACCAAGAACGTGCGTTTTCCGTAGACCCGTATTGATTGAGTTTAAAGTCGTACTCTCAGATCTCACATCGTTGCTAATTGTATATGTAACATATAGAATTATTGACTAGTTATACGCATAAATACATATATATATATATATAGGTATACATCATCGATCATATTCGCATAACTATGTACATGGTTTTACTAACGAATTGTTTAATTAAGCAGAAGAATAATTTTAATAATCATTTTTTATTTTTTTTGCAAGTGTTGTTTGTTTATCCTTGTGTCAACTAGTTATCGCGTTTTACCACTGGCATTTTTTCTCATTTATTTTCCGCTTTGCCCGTTATTATAAAGATACAAAATTTTCCACTACGTATGTTGACTGACATCGCGTTGTCGAGAGTTTATCGCTTAGATATTAATGGTTAATATTTCGTTTTAATGCGAAGATCCATTGCCTCTATTGTGTTCAAACCTTTTTGTAACATTAAATAACGTTTAAAGGCATATTTTTATACATGTATTGCAATAATATAATATAGCGATAGTTGCATGTTCTTTATCCTATCTCGATTTTTAATCGCCATTTGATTTTCCCTCTCTTTGTCATCACAAATAACGAGTATTGTTTTTACCGTTGTAAGCAACGTTCTCATAGATTCTCACGTAAAAGAATGCATTATTTATGTTGGCCCTTTAATTCCGTAGGAATTATGTGTCGTATGTTTTCTTATTAACACGAGTAATTGTACAATTGTAGGATGCAAAGGAGTCGTTACGTAACAGCAAATCTAATTTAGAGTGATAATCAATTAAGTCCGAAAAATTTCACCGAAAGAATTTGAAACTGCGATTTAATTGTAACCGATCGGCTCTTTGCATATTCTGTGCTCTTAGCGTCACGCACATCGTAAATCTTTTTTTTGAAGCTGTAAGTATATTTACGGATGGCAATGCCGAGATATAGAGAGCTGCCAGCGACGAGCGATGCCACGTGTTTGCCAAAGTTGTGTCAACAATTCGCGATCGAAGGGCGAGAGACTCGTATTGCCCGATTCAGTTTGATCAAGCGAGAAATATACATGAAACACGTTTTAAACCGGGCTATCAATTTTACGCTACGACACACAATCCACGATGTTTGCGAGAATTATATTTAGAATTAACTTTGACATAAAAAAAAGAAGGATGTCGCGGACAGAACGGCCGCGTTTATCATTGTACAATGTTTAATTTATTTCGATATAAAAAAAAATATTTTGGAACAACACGTAGCGAGATAAAAATTGATAGAGCGCTCATTATCAAAGAAACTTTTCAAACACGCTTAAATGTCGAGTATTTGTTGAAAATTCCAGCATGAGACGCGGATAAAGAGACAATGGACGACTGCTATTCTTGTTCCGCCGGCGGAGCACGTTTTCTGATCTGACGTTTTGTTTTTTAATTCCTTTTCAGACATCAAATGTTAAATTAGATAATCGAGGGGTGACGCGCGCGCACGTACGCCTGCTCTAACTTTCATCGGGACAAGGAAATAGCAATATTTTTGCTACTCGTTCGTAATTAATATATCATCGATGTTATATCACGCGTGTCGCTGTCGCGGCACGAGTCGTCAGAGCGCGTTTGCAATAATGTGGTCGCGTAATAATGAGGAATACAATCGTTATATTAAATCCGATCGTACGATCGAGAGCTAATCGCCCGACAACAACGATGAGCAGTTATGCTCGCGGGATATATTCCGAAAGGTTTAACAATTATTAACTCGTATAGCAATTCGTTTCTCGCTGCTCTATCCGGCCGAAATCGGACGACAAACCACTCTAATCTCCCATTTTAGATCCAGCGATAAGAACGATCTAGCCGTACGTATTTGCAATTAAGACAGTGGACGTCGACATTGTCGCGAAATGATAGCGTGACAAACGCGAATTAAAAATGTAATGATTTAGTAATTCCAACGTTTACCTCATCCACGTTGCGATCTTTTAGTGTTCAATGATAATTGCAAAATTGAAACGGCTATAATTTCTCGCGTGTGTTATTCTATCCTTCGTCGAGTTTTCCTCGCGCGCGCTGAATATTTATACTCTAGTGATAAACGCTATTGTTTTTGGCAATATCGGCGTTCAACGCAATGGACGACTTCCACGTGTGTTATTACTGCTTTACATTACTCGTCGATTGTGCGAAAACATACCTTCATTATTTCCACGTAGATAAGCGAGACTATTTTCTACGGCGTTTAAGTGAATACATAATCGCGGTGAGTTTTGATGCTCACGTTAAAATAGAGCGGAAACAAATTAAATAACGATATAATTAAGTGAAATTTGCGACAAAGAGAGCATATTCTCCCGAACAAAAAAAGTTCACGCTCGCTTATATACCTGGAAATGATAGGAATTTAAATATTTCAATTATATGGTGATAGAGAGACTGATAAGAAGGAAACATATGGGAAGCAGAGAGACAAAGCTTTCTTGGCGGTCCGTACAGCGATGCACGTTTAATAGCTACCTGATTAGGAAAAAGAAAAAGAAAGAGACACGATTAAGTGTTCATAAACATTATATTATATACAATTATGAGAAAAGTCTTGAAACATACGCTGAAATAAGCGAGTAAAACGAAACATTTAGTGAGTTGCATTAAACGAATAATTAATTTATTCAATATCTCTGATAAAATCAAAATGATTGCGTAAACTTATGAAAAATGTCAGCGTATTCGTGCCAGATATTTTGTTAGAATTATTGCTCTCTCTGGAAAAAAAAAATCACAAATCACTTAAAAAGAAAGAAACATCGTTTGGTGCGCGCTGCGAAGAAATTGGAAAGTTGAAGGATTCGATGATGCTAAGCGATCCTTCAATCCGTTCGATGCAAGTGTGAGACGGATTCTTTCGATATAGATTTCGATATCGCTGGTAGCACACAAACCCTTTCTCAAACGTAACACATGTAGCGACGTATAAGAAGCTAAGGAGTTGTACTAACTCGTGGTAGTGACGACGATCGTCATTAACTCTGCAGTAACGTTACGTTTTCCCAGTGGTTCCTAGTCACTGCCATAATTATTGACGACGATATCATGAAGAGCGTGACCGGAGAGCTGCTAAAGAAAAAAATTTTTGCCGAACAATATTGAAGATAAAAAAAAAAAGAAAAAGAAATGCACCTCGCAATGTGTTCGAGTTATTAGCTAGTTAAAAAAAAAAAGCTCCCGAGAAAAAAAATTTGGCACAAAGACTGCTGTACTGCAGGGTTTACGGGGAATCGACGAGATATCCGTTAATTAACACTGGCAAAGTAAAGCTTTATAAACTAACGTAGTGATGATGAGGATGGCGATGATGAAGTTTGGAACACTCGTTCGGAGGATTTGTTCGGGAACCGTTTCTATGTTCCATGTACAATCGTGAAGATCGAATTATTGGTGTCTGTAGAGGTACATATATTTTCTTACGGTATATGGTAATTAGCTGCGCTGCTTCGGCTCGTGAAGGACCCGCCGCCCTTGAATTGGTCATAAGCGAAGAAAACGAGCGAGATTCCGGTCGTATTAACAAGTTAAACAAATGCGTAACAAAACTTTGACAAGCATTTTCAGTTCGATGCTCAGTCATCTCGTAATGTTATCAACAATTTTGTAAAGAGATAAAATTTGTACAATTATATTCGTAGCGAAGCTGGGAATAATTCAAACATAAAAACTGTACTTCTTCGTTAAAACTCTCAAAAGCATTACACGTGAAAGATTGAAATTATTGAAATAAAAATAGTCCAAAAATGATGCAAGATAAAATGGAATATTTTGGTAGAAATTAATTTCACTCCATTGTTCACCATTGAATGTATCTTTTCTAATTAATGAGATTAAGAAATCATTATTTTTCGAGTACTGGAAGAAAAGTCATTATATAAATAATAGGAAATAAAGAATTCTCGTGATCTCGATTGTGATGCAATTGTATCGTGTAACAAGTTTTAAGCGATATAAAAGTCCAATTTTGCCGAAAATAGAAAGGTGATTCATTTTTGGACGTACGCTATGCCGATCCAATGAAATAATTCTAAGGGACGAATTTAAGGGAACGGGCGCCTCAAAGCTAGATGTAAAATTTCCTTAGATACCTATTGTTTCGATGTATGAATCGTCTATATAAGATGCTGGTATTGTTAGCGAAAAAAAAATTGTCGACGAAGAGTATGCCGAGAGAAAAGAATTTATCTCGAATAATCCGGCCTTTCCAAAAAAAAGGAGACGAGACAAAAATAATTCGACGATCTGGCGTGTCTTTCATCAGACAGATTTCCCGAATCTGACCAATCACACAGAACGTCTTTCTAGTTAGCACATGATGACGATGATTACGAACTCGCTGAATCCACGTTCTCATGGTTCATGAACACAATAAAACAATGACAAACAATGAACATTACGCTACTACAAATATTTATTATAAATAAGATATAACAAATATAAATAAATATATATATATATAAATATATATTATATTGAATTAACGATGATTGAACAAGATGCAATTTTTTGGTACAATAAAATGAAAGAACCAATATCGTGTATCATTGAACCCATATCCACTTTTATCTATTATATTATTTAATTTTTCAATAATGCCTTTTCTTTCTCTTAATTTAATTTGTACACATCTGACATTATATTATTATAGATTGAGTATTTATACATAATATTGAATAAAGAATAGTATTTTCAAAATTGCAGATATATAAATATAATATAATAGTATAAGAAAAAGATAGAAGCAAGTTCTTTTATCAATTATCTATAAATTTTTAAATTAATTTTTTTATCGTAAATAATGAAAAATAATTCTTGAAAACAAAAAGGATTTTATTTCTTACATACATACATATTATATTTGTACATCTACAGATTTCTATATTGTCGACAAAAATTGCGCTTAATCTCATTCATTTATCAATTGTGTTTGATAAATTTTAATTGTTGGTTAAAGTTATTCAAGTTTGAACTTGAATTTATTTATATTTCTCTAATCACATAATTACATATATATGAAATAACTTTTAAAATAATTTTCAATAATTTAAGTTTAGGTATTACATCGCAGTTGAATACTTTGGAATCTCGCATAAATTATTTCGTCGATATTCCCGCGATTACACGCAGAAATTGAAATCGACCGGCGGAGCTGCGCTTATCGACAGTTCACATTTTCGATGGAGAACGAGCGCGCGCACCGTGTGGTGGCTGCGGGTGTGAGAGTCCGCGCGGGTGCAGTCTTGATGAGACTACCGAGCGATGTGGACGTCGCGTGTCGTGTCTCGCGTGTGACTTTGCTGTTTCGATCGCGAATATACGTGCCAGTGACACTTGGCGGCTGCTGCCCGCGCACAGATATGCAGGAACGACGCTGAGGCACACACATATATATATATATACGTCACAGTCAACCTGTACGCGAATTCGTCGCGCCGATCGCTGCCGATTATCGTCGTTGACTTATCATTGCGCGCTACGCGCGTATGCACGCACGCACGCACTTTCCCGTGAGATATATCACGCGAAAATCGGACAGTGCACACACATACACACGATCATCAGCGATTGCTTATCACTGACCGGTCGTTTGCGGAAGCTGCATCTCGGCGTCAACAGACGGAAGTGTACCGGTGTTATTATTCGTGTGTGTACATACGGACGAACGACAAGTAAACTGACGGCTGTGCGACGTATCGAGAGATTGTGCATCAACGAGCGATCTCGATTCATCGACAGTGCGCGCAGCTGGAGCGAGGAGCGGCCGCCGCGAAGAAGTGAGTAAACACTTTTTGTTTTGTTTTTTTTTCCCCTCGTTGCTCGCTCTTCGCGGAGTGCGAATCGCGCTCCGCTAAGTGCAGCCTTCGGCCGTCAAAACATTTTTTCTCTCTCGCGCGTTTATCTCAATTTTCGAGTGTGGATATGTCACCCGTATGTCTCTCGCGATACGCGAGAACGGGATGCAGGCGGAAATAAAAAGATTTGGATTTTGCGCCGAAAATTGTTGTGTTTTCGCACGAGTTGAGCGCGCCGGAGGCGTTTTATTAAGCTATCCGGCGAGAATGGCACGTTTTTTTTATGTGCGAGTCTACACAAGCGACCGTCCATTGACGCGAATGTGCCTTTCGATTATCGGTAATGAGATGCGTGCCGGCGCTTTCATTGGTCGCAGACTGTCGTCGGTCAGATCGCTAATGACGCGGGATGTTCCGATCGGTCGCGTCGATGCCCGTGTTCGCGAGGGAACGAACGACGAACAAACAACACATCGAACACCGAATCGGATCTCTCTACGTGACGCTACAACATCACGGTCTCTATGCGCGGAATGCAACCGTGTCGATATCGAGAATCGGATCTCGATTGTCGAAGCCAGGAAGACGCATTCTTCCGTGCGCGCGGCGCGTCCACTCTCCCTCGTTCTCGTTGACATTTTTATTTTTAAACCGCCTATCGAAATTTACTTCCTCTCTGCCCTTCCGCGAGAAAACGCTGACTTCATTCATCGGAACGAAATTGCGGAAATAGAAACAGAGATGTTTTTTTTTAAAGATCAATCAATATACGTCAAAGTGGTATCGTCGGCACGACCGAGAATCAACTGTTTATATGCGATGTACCGCTTTTAAATTTTTGCACAGACAAGCGATTATTTTAGTGTCAACATTTTCGCGTCGCGGACTTCAGAAGAGATGTGTGTATTAATTTATTTTGTCGTTGTTGTGAATACGAGCGCTTCAAGATGTAGGTTTTCTTAGTTTTTTGAAATAGAACTCGGAAGTTTGTGTTTCCGTCTAAGTTAAGGAAGTGATCTTAAGCATTACTTTTGAAACTTTTTTTTGTAATCAAATATTTATAGTATAATTATCATTATCATAATTTTTGACAATTAAATTTTTGAAGTGTGGAAGTTGTGATAGGAAAAGGATGGAGAGAAATGATTCATATTTAATTGCGCATTTCCATCATGTTTATCGCTCGTATTTTCGACATTCATTATCGCGTACGTGATTCTTAGCAGCCCGGATTTGACACGTATGTAAAATCTTAGTGTGCAAGTTTTAGTAAAAAAATATTTATGTTTCGCATTTAGTACAGCACACTTAATTGAGTTTTGCTTATATATTAGCTATTGTTAATTTTCCTGATAGTACATCGTTAAAAACTGGAGCATTTAACGTCGCATTTTACGTTAAATAACCGGAATTATTATGTTTAAATCTGTTTTTTTTCTTGCTACATATTCATTTTTTAATATTCATATTTATATCATTTTTAAAATCTTTTTTAGAAATAAAAGTTAAAGTGTTATTAAAAACATACAAATTGTGATTATATTTTTTTGATATAAAAGTATTTATGTTATGAATATTAATGTAAACATCAAAGAAGTAATGCAAATATCGAATTATTTCTATTTTATTTTATATTTTATCCTTTTTATGTTGCTTTTATATTTTTAAAACTTGAAAATCATGACGTAATCATGGCTCAGAGTCACATGTTTCAATGAGGTGTGAAATCTGGGTGCTATTAGTTAATAGAGCATGTATTGCATCAATTACCGGATTGTTCTTACTCGTTAATGTTAAATCAGCTGGCATTAACAGAGATAACGTTACTTTTTCTTAGGTGACATGATATTTATTTTCAATATCATGCAGAATATTAAAGTATTATCTCTCGTTTTTATTCATGAAATTATTGGATAATATAACGTTTATCTAATACCATTAATTAACATTTCTAAAAATATAATAACACTTTTGGAGAAAAAAAAAACAAAAGAAGAAATTTGTATTACATTTTACAAGGTTGTGAAGGACGTTCTCGGAAAAAAGGAAATGTATACAATACATATTTCATGTTTCTCGAAATAGAATTTTTCTGGAATAAAAAAAGCGTCGAAGTGTACTGAAATACACTTCTGAAGAAGCCCGTTACTTTATTTCGATTCCGCCGTTTTCGAGCATCGATTGAGCGTATCCGGGACAGTAGTTTGACGGGTCTTTATCATGCCTCGGAGTTCTCCGTAAAACGGATATAATACTTCATTGACCGACCGGTGTGGGTCAAACGTACTCGACAAATCTGCAAGGGTTAATGACATCGTGCGCGAGCAGCGCGTTGCTTGCTTCCTTCCTTACATATCCGGGTTTCAATAAGGCGTGTCGAGTCTCTCGTATGAATGTTTCAGTTAGATACCTGTTGTCGAGATCGATTATTAATTAGGAATCGTAATCGATTTTAGTAACAAGTCGGTAAGAAGATAATTCTTTCGTCTGTGCTAAAAAAGATTTATAATAAAAGAAAACTATATTCTTTTATTGAATTTAATTAAGTTTTTACTTTGTTTTTATTCTAAATATTGTTTAAAAAAGACGATGTATTTTCAAATATTATATACGGAAAAGAATTACGCGAATTAATCATACGAAAATATGATACTTCTAATGTTTTGTGACTTAAATCGATATGTAGGTTCGTTTGCGTCATGTGCCGTTTTATGCATTAGGAAAAGAAGTAACACGCGAAATATAACGTGAAAGATGTAATAAATCATACGTGAAAGTTAGATGATTTTAATGTATTTTGTCGCTCGAGAATACTCTTAACGCGGCGCGCATTCGTACGTTATGGCTTCAAGGCTGTACTCAAGGACATTCTCAAATGGCAAGGATATTACGCTGAACGAACAGACATACTCGCGTGAGAAGTTCAAAATTAACTTTCTCGAAAGATATTTCTTACAATATTACTTTTCCACCGATAATTTTCTTTAAACCACTAATTTCCGATTAGTTGTTCGAAGCGAGTAATCTCGAAAATAATCTCGAAAGAGGTAAAAAAAAAGCGGGAAGACATTTTTTGCAATGCACACGGTTATTCTTGTCAATATGCATAATGTATTCAGATATGCATAATGCAGCGGATTTGAGCTGGTGACATTGATATCTTTAAGCCGATACGTAATGAATTATTCGTGCGGAATCTGAAAATCTCGTAATGCAGTGTATTTTGATCGCGTCGATCTTGAAAACTGCGGCGGCGAAACGACGATCCCGGATCGGTTGCGAGGATGAGACTGCCCGGGATCTCGTGACACGATTGTAACATTTCGCATTAATTCACGAAAACCCGATATCTCTCCTTGCATGAAATTAGACACCGCGCATGGCTTTCGGGAGCACTCGCGACAATCCGAGGTCAAGGTGTGTTGTAGACCGTAATGCGTCAGGTTTGAACCTCAGTCGCGGTTGACGCATTGCATACCGACGATCCTGGTGCACATCAGCTCGTTGCATTTGTAACACCAACGAAATACGTAAGTCATACCTTTAGAAAAGCAAAACGAATCAACATATCAGACGCGTTAAAAACTTCCTAGCGGAATTAATAATCTACCTGTGCCGCGATAGATCGCTATATTTATTGCCTATTAAAGTCCCTCCATATTTCATATTAGTTCACTGAATTTTCTTGAACAATGCTGAAATTAAATGCAGTTATAATTACATTACCCAGTTCTGTCGACAACTTCTCGGAATATTTAATGGCCGTTTAATTTCTATTGGCGAACTTTAATAGTTTAATATTAACGCTCGTAGATTTACCGAGCGAACAGCTGCACGTATCTTTCTACGTGTATGTTGCGCAGATACATTATCATTAGAAATATGGAACTTTTTTTACAACAACGCGGAAACTTCTTTCCCGCAAGAATTATGCAATTACGCGCTAAGGCACGATGATTCTGTGCAATAATACGCGCGCATGTGTTTAGGATCGTGTTACATGTCACCGTTTAATAGCAGCGTTTTATTCAGTGAATAGCGGTAGAGCGGATAGTATTGCATGCCTCTCGTCTCGCAATGCATCGATATGGTTTCATTAGATGATATTGATAGTCAATTGGCGATTGATTGGCTAACGGCTGCATCGTTCGGCGCGAAGAAGCAACGAGCCTTGTATCTTTGTGCGTTTTCACCGCATTGTAGCCACTGTTTTTCAGAAATCTAGACACATATTACATTTTACATTTCTTTATTCTCCATGTGAAAACCAACGAATCTTTACTTCGATTTGCATAGAAGGAATACGGATAAAAATGCTATGATTATAAGTGAATATAATAACTATTATTTATTATTGTTGCAGCGGAATTTACCTCACATTTTTCTGGTTAAAATTAAAATTTTAATTATTAACATGATATGTAGGATCTTACGCAAGATCTCAAGAATTTATTTTTAATTTAGCATAAATAAAGCTTCATAAATCTTCACGTATTTTAGCATAAATTTTCTATCTTTATTTTGTAATGTTTTTTTCCCCAGAGATAAAACTTTCTGGGAGATATTTAAATATTCAACGGACAAAAAGTTTTGGCTTTTCCGCGCAAGATTGAAGTATTAATTATGAATTGGTGGCAAAAGGAATAGTAAGATTTTATTTTCTTTATTCAATCTGAGAATTTGAGAATTTTGAATAATTTTCTCGAAAAAGAATTTTTTCCGTGTTTTTAAGAGAAACATTGTGATGCTCGTTAATTTCTTTTTGGATTTATTTATTTTGCGACTGAAATGCAATGAGACATGCATGACTCTTCTTCTTGTGGCTTTTCTATGAATGAGAGATTCAAAAATAGCATGCATCTGTGAATGAGGTAATTGCATGTAGCTGCATTAAAGCGGTCGGTACTTTTTTATAAGAGATGAACATATTGTATATAAATATAATTTCGTTATATTCACAAGCATTTTAGAATTTCGGGTTAAAATGCACATTTCTTTGTCGAATATAGATTTTAATTGAATTTAATTGATAAAATAGATACGAGAACATATTTTGTGTTACATATTTCACTTTCAAACAATATTTATAAATTAAATTACGCTGCAGTCAACGTGAAGGTAGGTGTAATACCTAGTCCGGATAGGAATTCAATTAGAGCAACCATTATCGATTTTGTAACTTATTGCTTCTTTCATTCCCGTATAATCTAGATCGTATTTTAGTTCTATCAAATAGTTATCAAGGCTTATTTCATCGATCTCTTATGTAAAAATAAACCTGTCCGGTGATTATGTTTACATTTATGGTTGTTTACATAGATGCTGAAAGGTCAAAGGTCAGTCTAATTTATAGAGTAGAGATAAAGTCTCTTTCTGTTCAAAGACACTTGATTAAAGTAAATGAATTTATCGGGAAGTTATATTGCAATTTATCGAAAGATCATTTCCAGACGATTGCGGTCGATAGAACATCACATTTTTCTTACACAATGCGCAAGATATCTCTTTTTTTTTTTTCAGACAATGAATCAAGAAAATTTGATCTTATAGATAGTTTTATTAAAGGTAGCATCATAAAAATTCAGATTGATATCTTCATTTAATGCTGAATTAATGATTCGATTCCAATTATTATTACTTATCTGATATAAAACGCGCGCTCTATAGAAATATGAGATAAGAATTATATATTTATTGTTAAACATTTGCCATGAATACAGTCATAGATACAAAACGCGCGGAGGAGGAAATTAGCATGACTGCGGCGAGTATTTATCGCGGAAAACGAATAGCTTCGAATTGCCGCGGCGGATTCCGATTATGTTACACGCTTCATTGTCGTGCGAAAAATATTCCGCTCATATTGTCAAGAGAGGAGAAGAAAATTTCACGACCCGCTTAATGTTCCATCTCGGATCTATTAGATAGATAACTTCATCTAACAATTCAGTGGCATCATCGAGCAATTAAGTCTCATTCGCCCGATACACTTTGTACGGCGCAGCTTGCACGATTTTACGTTCGAAATGATTTCTAACGCATATAACCATTTTTCAGTAATATTTTTTTCTTCTAATAAGTAACGTCTCTCGCGGACTTTACGTTAGCTTGTATTTATTGATAAAAGCGACGCAAAAGTGCAGCTTGCGAGGCAAAAGATTGAATGTGCGGCTAAAAAGCGAGCGTTGGAAAAATATTTAGACGTTCTATTCGCAGTGGCGCACATAGTGTTTATTATTGCATTTTTGGAGTTCGCATTATGAGAAACTGTATTTTCTTATTCTTTAGTATATTCTTATTCTTTGAATTGATGTGCTTTTCTTAAACAAACAATGACGGAATGTACGAAACTATCCTTCGGGCGACTGCAATCTGAGTGCAATTTGTTAAAAAGCATTTTTTTGCTTTAATAAAAGAAATATCAAATTATATAAGAACTTTAAAACAATTAATTTCTTTTTTTGTAAACTCTTTAATTTATAAATCTCCAGTATTTTCCTCATCGTTTTATTTATACGATGCGGTTGTATACATCAACCAGTAGCGGCACATTTAAAATTCCATTACTGGCTTCAGCAACTGTATAAACGTCATAAAATGAAAAATTAAAAAGGGGAAAAACATTTTCGCGTTGCACTTTCTCCGTTGCGTAATCCCGGTCGAAAGCGATTTCGTTATCTATAGTGCACCGATATTCCTTTCGGTTTTTCCTTAATGATTGTTTATTTTCTCTTTTAGGTGTAGCCATGAATAATTCACTCGGCTAAAACGGCCGATACGGGAGTTTCTCCGACTTTGAGACATCGAGAGAGGCTCTACGACGACGGCATCGAGATGGGCGAGCTTTCGGGATCCGCGAGTTTCCTTCATCTCGGCGATATCGTAAGCCTTTACGCCGAGGGAAATGTGTCCGGGTTCCTTTCCACGTTGGGGTAAGTGAAAGACGACTAGAAAATATTTTCCGCCGATCCCTTGACGGCGCAGCTATCATTTAATCGTGCCGCAACGCGGCGGCGGCTTCCTTAACACGATCTTCGAGGAACATATTTTCACACTTTACCTTCTCTCGCGAAAAAGCGACAGCGAGAATTTTCGCTTGATGTTTACTCTTTCGAGGAGAGCTGCCAGACGTATGTTTACGGTTGTAAAAAGAAACATCAAATTAATTTTAGATGTGTTCCGCTGCAGCGAGTGTGCTGATAATAATAAAAATATTTCGATACCTCTCTTGTTGAAGACTTTTAATTAAAAGCACATATATTTTATATTATTCAGAAAATAAAATTATCGGTGGAATTTACCATGCACGTTAAATAAGTGAAGTGTCGTAAAGTTGCAGAGATAACTTTTGGTGAAATATTTTTAGAATTTTTCTCCTCTTGTGTAATTAATTATTTTTTAAGTATAAATATAAAATTTTGGAGAATTTTTCGACGAGTTTTTCTGCCGGAATGTATTAATGCAAGTAATAAATTAATTGATTTGTACGGTTACTCAATAATAAAATTGTCGCGCAATAAACCTTGTTACATTTTTAAAGCAAAGATTCAGGCGCGCCAAAGTCCATCTCAATAATTTGCAGCATCAGTTAACGTCGAAAGACATTCTTGCAAAATCTGCCCATTCACATACCGAGCGCAATGTGCTCTGACCTTAGATATTTATCTATCCAGACTGTTGGCATCCTCCATTGGAGGTTACCGACTATCATTTCCATAGTTCTTCATCTATCACTTTGTGTTTTTTCAAAGTTTTTTTCTAATTTAGTATCGAAAGCACGATCGAAGTTTTTCAAGTTATCTTCTATTATTGTTTATAAAAGTATTGGACGAAACACACTAAAAATATTGGAAGAAATCATTAATTATCGATAAAGAAATAAAGATTAAAAATGTAAATAATTAATTATTGTAAAAGTGGACGTTTACTGACAATGCGAGTTTTTATAGTTATTTAAAGGCTTTCATTAATATAGTGCAATTTTTGCAGACTTAAAATGCTGCATATTGCTTTTTAAAGTAAAGTATTATGAAAAGAGGAAAAGGAACGGAAGATTTATGTTTTTCTGAAAATGAATCATGAGTTAATAATAACATTAACATACTCGTATCTTTGAAGTTTATTACCGGTTTTCGCCGGAAGTGGCCTTGCGGGTTTCATGTTGTACGTTGCCGATAATGCGTTATAACGTTTCGCGTCGCGAAAACAATAATAATTACACGGCTAGTTATTGTGTTACATGTGTTTATCGCATTCCGCGTTTCAGTCGTGCAAATTTTAACGGCGTTAAGGGCTTTGCACTAGATTCGTATCAGAAGTTTTTTTTTTCACGCAACAAGTGCTGCACACAGAAGCGAGATTATGCTCGCTCGTACCTGTTTCATTCGTTACGCACTGTTTCGACAGAAAGGCTGCACTTATGTGCATCATGCGTTTCAGTTTGTTCGCGCGCATTAAGAACATTTTATTCCACATATTTTTTATGCATATTCATACGCGAACTAATTTTACGAAGATTTATAGCAAGCTGCACGATGTTGAGCGCAGTATAAAAACTTTATTTTTGTTGTTAAAAGAAATCATTCTTGGACTTTTGCTTGGAAGTTCTTTTTCGTATCGCACGAAAGACATTAAAGCGACGCTCGCGCTTTTAATTACGATTCGACGTTTCCTGCGCGCGTCAAACTTGTGCGGGTAATTTTACAGGAAATTTGTTGTAACGTTAACTGCGCGCAGAAGTTTCGTCTTCTTCGCTAAGAAGGTCGCATCCAAAGGTGTAAAGTTTCTTCCGTGTTGAACCCGAGGGGGAGGGGGGGGGAATGTTAAAGCGAGAACGAAGGTCCTACGTCAATATAGGTTTTGCACAAGCGGCGTATTATTAAATTCGCACCTGCGTATAAGACTCGCGATCGATGAGCAATTTCAGCCGACTTTAGCAACGCGCCATCGTCGTTGTCGTCGTCGTGGCTGCTCGTGTGGACGTGTATTACCCGCGCACTGATGAACCCGGCGTGTCGACGTCACACGGCCGTCGGGTAATAAGGCGAGATCTCTCTCTCTCTCTCTCTCTCTTTGTAATCCGACATCGCCGCCGATCTCGCGTACTCAACTGCGCAGATTTTTCACAAAAGGGCACGCACGCTGCCGTGAGCGTTAAAGTACCTTCAAAGTCGATATCCTCGATTTTGCCCTGGTTACGAACGGATAGAATAAATGATAATCGGAGAGCGCGTGTACATTACGATTGCATAAATGCAGGATTTTGCATCAATTACCGCTAATATGAATATAATGACTGTTTCCGCCGGCGGTGTAGCGTTGTTTATTTGCGATTTTATTTTTTACGAGCATGCTTGTTTAAAAGAGTTTTAGAAAATTGCTTTTTCACGATGGGAAAAGCAATTTCGCATATACGATACCGGTGCAAATTGTAAAATTGGAATATTTTAACTTGTCATTAAAAACATGCTAGTAGGTCAGCAGGCTAGTTTATCGGCGTTTTTAAATTACAGTGATACTCGAATAGTTAGTAAAATGCATCGTATTATTTCGGAAATATCTGCAATCGGTTATTTTTGATCAGAGTTCTTATTTATCGAAACTGAGGATAGTAGATATAAATCGTAACGCTTTGACATTTTTGTTAATTTGCATTTTCACCAGCGTAGCGTCACTAGTTTCTTTCAATTATTAAGCTTTAACCAGGGAAATAACGCTGTAAACATACGCACAGCGAAATGAACAGGATCGAGTACATGTCCAGGATGTACATGTAAAGGATGTCGTATTCAATGCATTTTTTATATTGGACACACAATCGATCGATTTTTCTGAGCGTATGTTTACTTGGTCAATCTATGAAAGGGACCTTTAACCCGAGATCGGTCCGCGGCGCCGACTTATATTTCTTTTTTCTTTCGTTTCTGCTGTTGTTATTATCGAATGTCATTTATGAGCGCTTATCTGGTTTTGAAGATGCGCCTCTCGATTGCGTACTTCTCTCTATGTGGAGTAAATAGATCAACAATAACAGGCGGCAACGTGCCGAGCTGACTTTTTGCATTCTGTAATAAATTCAATATTCAAACTCGATATTAAAATGTAAAATTTTTGGTTCTGAAATGCAAAGAAAACGTTGAATTTTATCAAAATGCATATCTTTCAAAATTTAATATTTTACAGTTCAGTCGCGCTCGGATGTCGAACATCCGTGTTCCACTTTCGAGTTACAAGGGTAAAAAATTAGATAAGCAATCGTCCTATTTTTTGGTTGAGAAGTTGCTATCCGAGTTGCTATCTAAATTCGATAGTCGATCAGATGGTGTCAGTTGTTATTTACAAAATTTCACGGGCCGTAAAAAAGCGGCGAGCGTGCATAAAAATTCGGAGCGACGACGATGAGGAAACGAGGGACGAGAAAAAAAAAGAAGCGCCTTTTGTACAATTGATCATGTACGAGAGCGTCGCGTGTTTTCGAGAACGCGGTATATTTTCGGATAGAGCGCAGGAGTCCCCGTCATCGTATGTAAACGGGCCTTACGATCCTCGTAACTTGCCGCTGTTCGCGCGTCGAGCTTTCAGAAGTCTCGTACTTTATCGTTCGTTTGATGCTGCGGAATACTTGGGGTAAATATTCTCTCGATGAGGGGCAGCAGGAGGAACTCATCCATTAAGTGGTCCTGTATTTCGACGCCGTATCGTGAAAATAGGTCGCACACGTTTCCCGCAGTTCGCTGTTGCGCGCATGAATGAATAGCGCTATTAAGGAAAATTTCAGCGATCGTATCGAATGTTTTGCTAGAGGCGGCTGAAGGTGGGTTTCTGGAAACCTAGTTATCTGGTTTTTATGCTCCTATTATCTAAATGCTCGAGAAGCAGAAGGAAGCAAGCCACGGAATTATCAGTTTTGACATATTTATATTCTTGTAATAGAAAAACAAGTTTACAAGTTAGAGAAGTGATGCAGCTCAGAAAAACAGCAAATACAACTTCATAAAAATACGTAGTGAATTTATTATAATAAAAAAATTGTTATAATTTTACGGAAGCTAATCTTTGTGAAACAAAATTAAAATTTTTACTTAAGCGGAAATTATGTATTATCTTGAATACGATTTTAATCTGATTAAATTTATGCTTATTTATTTATCTAATTTTTCGTAAAAACTTATATCTTTATTTGCTTTTGAAAAACATTCTTGGACTTACATCTATTTGCTTCCGAGCTGCAGATAATATTCGCTTGAAGCGCGTTTGTACACTTGAAGAATTATGAGATATTTTCATTGACAAGCGGCTGTGTTAAGTCCTCTTAAACGTTCAGATTTACCGCGATCAAGATTGCGTGGCGTATGCAAACACGCAGCGAGGGACGCGTTGCGTGTCGCCTTTCACTTTCTTAATTACCGTGCGCCATTAAAGCGTGCACGCAAGTGTACGAAAATACGATCAGATGAGAGAGAAAGAGAGAGAGAGAGAGAGCGTGAAGTTTGGGCCCGATGAGATTCGGTGCACGTTGAAGAAAAGTCTCTAATTTCGGAGTTCGATAAATGCGTCGGCGCACGAAATCGTTGATAATTCGTCGCGGACTATTCGTGGTATGCACCCGCTTACCCGGCACTTAACGACGCTGATGACAGGACTATTTCCAGAAGCGCGATTACAGCCGTGATGAGGTTGCCCTTATTTTGCGGCCACAAAACAGGTCGGAATCTCGTTAAGCTCCCCGTCCGAAGTGTACAAACTTGAGTAATGAGAGGAACTTCACACATCTTGTGTACAGAGATATATGGCTGTAGAAAACATTTTATATATCTCAGAAAATTATTTACATAATTGTAATATACTTATTTTGTATAAATAGCACATTTCCTATAAATTTCGTATCTAGACGTTGTGTCTAACAGTTCCAAGATGCAGCACTCGTATCTCG